GTGTGTGTGTGTGCTCACGCGCGCGCGAGCGCGTGTGCATGTGTGTACGTTGCACAATCAGGCGGCGAGGTGTTGTTGTGAGGTGCTGATGGTACAGCCGCCCAGTGGTGCCATCTGAAAGGCCATCCGGTCTCTACTTTTGAGGCGCCTTGGAGGTCGTGCTATGGAGGTGCTGATGGTACAGCCACACGCCCAACCCAGTGGTGCCATATGAAAGGTCCTCCGGTCTCTCAGGTGTTATTCTACCATGCATGCACACCCTTGTACCCTGCTCTCTCTCGCACACAACCTCACAACCATTCTCTCTGTCCCACTCTCGCTTGCACGCAAAGTGACTTGCTTTCTTGCGTCTCCTAGCCCCTCTCATGCTTTCCGTTCTTTCATGTTTTGAGTCGGCTCAAAATAGATCAATGTTGAGATTTCTCAAAAGGTGACTTGCTTTCTTGCTTCCCCTAGCTCTCTCATGTTTTCCGTTCTCCCTTCCCATCATCCTTCCTGCTCTATTCATCCCCCGTCCCCTTCCTTTGTCCATCCGCATTCCAGAAGCCACTAGAGGCGAATCTTGTTGCTGCTCCTTCTCGTGCTGCCCTAATCCTGAAACTTGCTGTCGAGCGCCCAATCACTTATCGCTAATCCACCACCCGCATCCCACCACCGCTATCACGAATGCTTCCCTGCAACTGCCGGCGATGGCGGAAATTTCGACGGAAACTTCAGCGGGCGCCGTTGCACCACCCGCTGGTGGGTCAAGTCATTCTAGAGCTTCATGGCGAAAAAAGGCCGACCATATTAAGCCACCGCCGGTCTTCTCTGTCGCCAATTCCTCTCCTACGGGTCCTTGAAGTTATGCGCTGGATATGGATGAGGACGACGAATCGCTGCAGAGCTAAGGCAAGGAGCCGAGCGACGTCATGGTGGCGCGAATTTTCTCCGACAGCCCCGCGAGTACCTCTGCTGCTACCGCTGCTCCCAACCAAATGGTCACCACCACAACAGACGCCGCCGCCGCGCAGCCGATGAGCCAATGGGTGTCAGAATGTTATTATTGTCTAGCCTGCAGTGGGGTACTCTATAGCGAGTACAACCCAATTAGGGTTTCCTATATGTATGCCAACTGCTGCTAGTGAAAGCCTCTCCCTTCTTCATTCTTATTTCTGACTGCTAGTTCTGACATGCTATCAGAGCAGGTCGACCCTTCTGGGTCGATCCTGTGGGTAGGCCCCACCCGATGCTTCCGCTGCTCTACTGTTGTCGCGTGCCCCGGGCGCGCGACCCTTTCTTCCTGCCGCGCACTCGGAGCGCGCGGCGTTTTTCATCTCGCCGTGAGCTCGGGGCGTGCGGCGGTTTTCTGCCCGCCATGCGCTCGGGACGCGTGGCGGTTTCCTGCCCGTCGCGCACCCTGGCCGCACACGGCGGTTTCGCGTTCCATCGACCTGCGCGCTCGTCCCCGTCGACCTGCGCGCGGCTCTCCGTCGCCCTTCGCGGCGGCCCCGTCGACCCACGCGCGACTCCTCGTCGCCCTTCGCGACGGCCCCGTCGACCCGCGCGCGGCTCCCCATCGCCCTTCGCGGCGGCCCCGTCGACCCGCGCGCCGCCCCTAGGGACCCGTGCGCCCGTCCCCGTCGACCCGCGCGTCGCCCTGCGGCCCCCCCTCCCCGCACACCTGAGTTCGCTTTCCGCACACCCGAGTTCGCTTCCCACACGCCTGTGCACGCTTCGCGCACACCTGGGCTCGCTTACCGCACACTCAGGGTATGGGGGTGACGGGTATGGGGGTGGCGGGTGTGTGCGCCGTCCCCTGCTCCTCCTCCTCCCCCGTCTCCCACTGCTGCAGCTGCCGCTGAGGGGGGTGGGTGTGTGGGAGCCGAAGGAGTGGTGCTAGGGGGGTGTCGTGGGAGTGGAGCTAGGGGTGCCACAGGGGGTGTGTGAAAGGGGGGGTGGGATAGTTGGGGGAAGTTGCGTGGAGGCTGCCGTCGTGTCGCCTGCAGCGCCAGTAGTCCGGAGCCTGTCTTGCTCTCGGTAGCCCAGCGAGCCTGCTGTGCCTGTCGCTCGTGGGTCCTTTGCTCCTGCCGCTCAGAGGAAAACTGAACGAGAATGAATGCACTATGAAATGAAGTGAGTACAAATATGAAACCCTAATTGGGTTGTACCCCTTATGGGATACCCCACCATAGCCTACAGAAAAGAGTAAGCTATAATGTTCTGACACACCCCCATAGGCAAAGTGGGGGAGAACAAGGGGTCACAAGACCAGTCAAACAAAGCAAAGCAAAGCTCAGGGTGGATCACAAAGTCACCACACATTCCGAGCACAAGTTCAAGGGCCACAAGGCCAGTTCACATGCAAGATCATATATAAAGATATACAAGAGTCAAGCAAGTAAGAGCAAGAGTATATATAGGTGAAGGTACAAGCAAAGTCAAGAAGTGAGCAAGTGAGGCAAGACAGGCACAAGACCCAGCTGCGTGCAACAACGCTGATGATCACAAGGCGCAAGTGCCTTGGTGAAGACATCAGCAGTGTTGGCCTCAGAGGCCACGTACGTAAGTCGCAACTGTCCACGCTGCTGTAGCTCACGAGCAAGAAAGTAGCGGAGAGCAATGTGCTTTGTCCTGTGCTCCAGTCGCTGCTCTCGACACAAGGCCAGCATGGCCTTGTTGTCTACGTACAGGACTGGAGGAGAACGAGGCGGCTCTCCAAGGTCGGACAGCAGGTAGGTGAGCCAGCGTAACTCCTGTGCAGCCATAGCCCCGGCGTAGATCTCAGCCTCACAACTGGAGCCGAGAACGGAAGACGAGCGGGTAGCCCGCCACGAAACAGAGCCGGAACCAAGGCTGAAGGTGTAACCCTGTGACGACCGCTGCGTAGCCTGGTCGTCAGCCCAAGAAGCGTCCGCGTGCCCAGTGAGGACCACTGGACTGCGCCCTCCAAGCACTAGCCCCATGCCCGACGTACTGCACAAGTAGCGCAACACCCTCTTCGCTGCAGTCATGTGCTTTGGTCGGTGTCTCCCAGGAGCAACATAGCGTGCGAGAATGCTAAGAGGGTATGCAAGGTCAGGTCGTGTGCAGGTCATCAAGTACATGAGGCAGCCAACAAGCTCTGCATACGGGCCACTCGACTCTACGGACTCATCCGAAGGCAGAGCTGAGAGGGAGTGGCGAGTAGGCAGAGGAGTGGCATGAGGCGAGGAGTACGTGAAGCCGAAGCGCTGAAGGACCTGCTGCACCATGTGTGACTGAGTCAGGGTAATGGTGCGGCGTGCTCTGTCCCGGGTGATCTGCAAGCCAAGGTAGCTGCGCAGTTCACCCAGGTCAGTGCACGTGTGTCTCTTCTGCAGCTCGGACTTCACGTAGGCGAGTCCAGCAGTGTCAGCTGTGGCAAAGACCAAGTCGTCGACGTACACGAGGATGTAGAACGGCGGCAGAGAGGTGTCGGTGCGAAGAAACAGCGACGGGTCGGCAGTAGAAGGAGCAAACCCAAGGGCCGCCAGCGTAGTCCTCAGTGTGTCGTGCCACTCACGTGGCGCCTGGCGGAGACCGTAGACTGGACGCCGGAGATTCCACTGGGTACCAGGAGGGAAAGACCCAGTGAAGCCAGGTGGGCGACGCAGCCAGATCTCCTCGTGCAGGCTGCCCTGCAAGAAAGCAGTGCTGAAGTCGAGAGAGTGCAGCTCGTAGTCACGGTGAGCAGCAACGTGCAGCAGTACCCGAAGAGTGGTCATCTTCGGGGTGGGGGAGAAGGTCTGAAAGTAGTCAACCCCCTGCCGCTGACTGAAGCCACGAGCCACGTAACGCGCCTTGAAGACAGGCGGAGAACCCGGCGGCCGCTTCACCCTGAAGATCCACATGCCACTGACGATGTTCGCCCCAGGAGGGGGAACAGCGTCAACGTAGGTGCCTGTGGACTTCCAGGAAGCCATCTCTGCATCCATAGCTGCCTGCCACTGAGAGGAGTAGGGACCCTCTATCGCCTCCGCGTAAGAGCGCGGAGTCGGGATGTCTAGTGCATCCGGGTCTCCCTCAGGGGCTAGCAGTACAGACGCGAGGTGAGGTGAAGCGGCGGCCAGACAGTGGAACTCCTCCTGCCTGTCCTCAAGGACGTCCATGCCAAGGGCACACTCACCCCCGACGGACGGAGGAGAGGCCGACTCAGACTCAGCGACAAGATTAGCAGCGTAGTCTAGACGATAGCGCGCAGCAAAGTCGACAAGCTCAGTGACAAGGGCAGACGTAGCAGACGACTCAAAAGAAGGGTCACTGACAGCAGTAGCAAGGAGACGTGTGACAGTAGGACTGGCAGCACGAAGAGAGTCCGACTCCGGGTTGGCAAGAGCAGGAAGAGAGGAAGCAAGAGGAGAAGGCAAAGGGGCACGCAGAGGAGCAGTGGACGGACGCAGAGACATCCGGTGCGTGCCAGGGACAGGAGGAGGACGCTAACGCGAACCGCGACCACTCGTGCGCGCAGCACGAACGGGCGACGCAGGACGAGACGCAGGCTCACGACGCTCAGTAAGACCTCCAGTCGGACCAGCGTAGGGAGAAGGAGCAGGCAAAGGGGAGGCAGGCTGTAGCGGTGTCTCAGCGCCAACACCCTCAGCAGCACCAGCTCCAGGAGAACCCTCAGACCCAGCAGCTCCAGCACCCACAGTACGAGCACCCCCGGGACGCTCGGCAGCAGCACCCTCTGCAGCCGAAGAACCTCCAGCACCAGCAGCACGCCTCCAGCGCCGGGCAAACCACTCACGCAGCTCCTGTGGGGAGAGTGGCTCTCGGCGAGACGAACCACCGCCATGCGGAGCACCCCAAGTCTCAGCACCCCCAGGCTCAGCACCCCCAGGCCCAGCACCCCCAGGCTCAGCACCTCCAGACTCCGCACCCCCAGGCCCAGCACCCCCAGGCTCAGCACCTCCAGACTCCGCACCCCCAGGCTCAGCACCCCCAAGCGTAGCGCCTCCAGTCCCAGCACCCCCAGGCTCAGCACCCCCAAGCGTAGCGCCTCAAGTCCCAGCACCCCCAGGCTCAGCTCCCGCAGCAGCACCAGAGTCACCAGTGACCTCGACAGGCTCGACCGCGTCTACCTGGGACACACTTGAAGGGGCAGGACCCTGAGGGGGGAGGGGGTCTACCGGGGGGGGACCTGGTACCAAGAAGAGCGGGGGCGGTGGGAGGGACGGAGTGCGGTAGGGGAAGAGGCGGTAGTAGGGTACCGACTCGTCGAACGTGACGTCCTGGGAGGACAGAACACGTCGAGAGGTGGGGTGGTAGAACTGCCACCCAGAGGCGTCGGGGGGGAACCCCAGGAAGACGCAGGGAGCAGTGCGAGGGGACAGCTTGTCCGCAGACAAGTCGCGGACAAACGCCCGAGATCCCCAGACCCGGAACGCCGACGCATTGCCAACCTTCCCCGTCCACAGCAGGGCTGGGGAGGTCTCCGGCCAGGAGACCCTGGGGTGGAGGTTGATCTGATGCGCCGCGTACCTGACCGCAAACGGCCACAGAAAATGGGGGGCAGCCGCATGCATCATAGACGTACGAGCGACGTCCATGACCATGCCAATGCGGCGCTCTGCAATCCCATTTTGCTGCGGGGAGTCCGGAAGCGTGAAGGTCTGGCGGATGCCTCGCGCACGACAGTAGGCACGCAGAAGGCTAGAGGAAAACTCTCCGCCTCTGTCCGAGTGCAAACGCAACACAGGAAAGTCCGAGCCAAAGCTCTGCCTGAGCTGGAGACGAGCTGCGCGGATCCAGTCGATCAGCACCTCAATGACATCACCCTTGCTGCGCAAGGGGAAGACTGTGGTGTAACGCGAGTAGTCGTCAACCACCAACAGGAAGTAGCGCTCGTGACCGATTCCACGGACGCGGGCAGGGCCCCACACGTCCATGTGAAGCGTCTGCAACGGAGCCTCTGTCGGAGGAAACTGGGAGGAGTGAGGGGCAGCACGCTGGCGCCCCTCGACACAGGGGACACAGGCAGGGCCAGGGCCCTGAGGAAGGGGAGGGAGGGACCGGGGGAGACCAGACACAAGAAGACGGGAGGCCATGCCTCTGAGCCGAAGCAGAGAGGGGTGGCCAAGGCGGTGGTGCCAGAGGAGGGTCTCATGAGACAGACGGCGACACGAACAGGGGGCAGACTCAGGACCAGACCTGGACGCTGCAGAAAACACCTGACCAGACGAAGGGACTCTACCAGACTCAGCACCTGGAGGAGAAGCAGTGGTCAGTGTGTACAGGCTCGACCTTGGCTGACGTGTAAATGTGGCCAGGTGACGACCCGTGCTAGCCTCTGTGCAGTGCGTCACCCGCTGACTAGCAGGGGTGAACTGGTGGACTCCCGCATCCTGTAGGTTAGCACCACTCACCAAGTTCGTAGAGAACGAGGGGAGGTAGAGACCAGACAGGGTGCCAGAGGGAGCCGCCGGACACGGGAGGACTGTGGAGAAGCGAGACAGGACAGGACCCCCAGAGGGGTCAGCCAGGGAAACCGCAACCGGCCGACTAAGCGGCGTGAGTGTGGTGCGGTCCCGAAAGAAAGAGCGAGACGCTCCAGAGTCAAGAGTGAAGGTGTGGGAGGCCGAAGCCGACGCAGTACCTTAGAGCGCAGACGCACTAGTACCTGAGAGAGCAGCCTCACCAGCACCTGAGAGCACAGACGCACTGGCACCAAGAGCAGAAGCCTCACCGGTACCTGGAGCAGCAGTACCAATGCCCGGGTCGGGCGGGAAACACCGGTAACAGTCACCCTCATCACTAATGGTCACAGCATACATGGCAGCAAGGATAGCATCAAAATCAAGATCAAAGATAGCTACACCAGCCCTAGACAGCTCTCCCCAGCGGGGGATCTCCGCGGCCTCCGGGAACTGCTGGCGCCAAGCGTCCGTCAGGCGGCCAAAGCAGCGCTGGGCGGTGTGGGTGCCCCCACACTGCTCTCCAGCGCGGTCGCCAGTGCGGAGAACGTAGGTGCAGGGACCAAAACCCCCACCGCGCTGACGATGCGTGTACCACTCACGGAGCTGCTGAGGGGTGGGGACGTTGCGAGAACGCTGCTGCTACTGCTGCTGGCGCTGACCTCCCCCAGTGCTGCTCCGCTGCGAAGCTCCACTCCGACCACCTCCACCTCCGCCACCCCCGCCTCCGCCTCCACCGCCCCCGCCTCCGCCTCCACCGCCGCCACCTCCACCACCTCCGCTATTACCGCCACCGCCGCCGCCACCCCCGCCTCCACTGCCGCCACTAGCACCCCCACCCCCGCTACCACCACCACCGCCACCCCCACTCCCTCCGCCGCCTCCACCTCCACCTCCACCGCCCCCACTGGCCCCACCCGCTCCCTTGCCCCCCTTGCCCTTGCCAGAGCGGCGTCTCCCGCTAGGGGCAGACGCCGCACCGACCGACTCAAGGCCAACGAGGTCGGCCGCAGCGGCAGAGGCGACAGAGGGCAGGAGAGGGGAAGGAGAACACCCCTCAAAGATGGGGGCGCGGGGGTCACCTCGAGAGGCACCTACAGCGATTATGCTCTTCTCTGCCGCAAGGAGGGCCTTCTCTAGGCTGTCGACTGTGAGGGTGGTGGGACAGACTGCGAGGAAGTGGTCCCGGACTACACGAAGGGAGTCTGGGAGGCGAGTGACTAAGAAGTAGAGAGTGGTGTACATGGGGGGGGGGTTCTTGGCGCTGAAGTCAGCAGGAAGCGCAGCGCGGTAGCGAGTGTCACTAGTGCGGAGGTGCGTGATGAGATCAGCGACAGTGGGAAAGGCGGCAAGGTCAGGGAAGAGGAAGGGGAGCATGAGGCGGCTCAGTGCAGCAGTGGCAGGGGAGGAGTAGCGCGCAACTACAGCGTCGTACAAGGTATGAGCACTCTTGTACTGGCTAAAGTGCGCGCGTTCAGCGGTAGGCAAGTGGCGACGCACAGCAAGACGTGCAGCAGCATCGCGCGTGGCCCACTGCGAGCGAACAGTGGCGTCAGCATCAGCAGCAGGGGAAGGGACGGCGCCAGAGGTGAGGTCAAAGAGAGACAGACCGTCCGCCCTATCGCACTGTAAAAACAGCTGCAGGTCGTCTAGCCAGACCTCGAAGTCTACGGCTCTACCCTCAGCGTCAAAAGCGAGGACACTAGGGGTAGCCATGACGACGACAGTGAAGCAGTGCAAGTAGTAGGGGAAAGGCACGCTGTGACAGCGGTACAGTGCTCACCGGGCAGGGCAGGTCGGGCGGCTCGGTAGAAAAGGCGGCTCGGCTACTCAGCAACTCGGCTCCCGGGCGGCTCGGCTCCCAGGCGGCTCGGCGGTAGGGCGGCTCGGCTGCCGGGCGGCTCGGGTGCAAGGGCGGCTCGGCTGCACTGCTGCTCGGCGGTCGGGCGGCTTGGCTGCTGCAGTTGGGCTGCTCGAGAGCAAGGGGCGGCGGGGCCGTGAGATCAGGGACGGCGAGGCCGCGTATCAGGGGCGGCGGGGCCGGGAGCGCTGGAGCGGCGGGGCCGCGTAACAGGGGCGGCGGGGCCGGGAGCGCTGGGGCGGCGGGGCCGCGTAACAGGGACGGCGGGGCCGGGAGCGCTGGGGCGGCGGGGCCGCGAGATCAGGGGCGGCGGGGCCGTGAGCGCTGGGGCGGCGGGGCCGTGAGATCAGGGACGGCGGGGCCGCGAGCGATGGGGCGGCGGGGCCGCGTATCAGGGGTGGCGGGGCCGGGAGCGCTGGGGCGGCGGGGCCGCGAGATCAGGGACGGCGGGGGGGGGGGGCGCGAGCGCTTGGGCGGCGGGGCCGCGTATCAGGGGCGGCGGGGCCGGGAGCGCTGGGGCGGCGGGGCCGCGAGATCAGGGACGGCGGCGGGGCCGGGAGCGCTGGGGCGGCGGGGCCGCGTATCAGGGGCGGCGGGGCCGGGAGCGCTGGGGCGGCGGGGCCGCGAGATCAGGGACGGCTGGGGCTGCGAGCGCTTGGGCGGCGGGGCCGCGAGAGAAGAGGCGGCGGGGCGGCGTTCACTGGGTGGCGGGGCCGCGAGGGTAAGGCCGTGTCAGAATGAGGAATGATGTTGCATTGATGTTGGTTGGGGTACATATGACAAACCCTAACTTCTGTACCCCCTAAGACAAACCTCACTACAGGCTACAACATTTGACACACCCCCATAGCCTAAGTGAGGGGTGTCTAGCAAAAACAAAAAAGAGTACGGTCACAAGACCAGTCCAAAAGAAAACAAAGCTCAGGGTGGATCACAACGTCACCACACACTCTGAGCACAAGCAACAGTGGCCACAAGGCCAGTCCAAGAGATCACAAGTATATATAGTAAGTGTACAGACGAAGCAGGCAATAAACTCAAGTCTACGCATGACTAGAACCTGTGTCAACAAGGTCTAACTGCACACAACACCTCTGGTGGTCACAAGGCGGAAGCGCCTTGGTGAAGATGTCTGCAGTGTTGGCCTCGGACTCTACAAACTCGAAGCGAGCCTGTCCACGCCTCTGCAACTCTCGCAGAAGAAAGTACCTGACGTGAATGTGCTTCACTCTGCTCTCCAGTCGCGGCTCACGACAGAGGAGGATCGACGCCTTGTTGTCAGTAAACAAGGTCGGTGCAGAGCTCGGCCGCTCACCAAGGTCGGCGAGCAAGAAGGTCAACCACCGCAACTCCTGTGCCGCCATGGCACCAGCGTAAATCTCAGCCTCAGCTGTAGAGGTCGAGACAGAAGAGGAGCGCGTGGAACGCCAGGAAACAGCTCCAGAACCCAGACTGAAACAGTACCCCTGAGTAGACCTGTGAGTCTCAGCGTCGTCAGCGTAAGAGGAGTCACAGTGACCAGTGAGTACGACAGACTGCTGCCCTCCAAGAACTAGCCCCACGCCTGATGTAGTCGCTAGGTACTTCGCCACCCTCACAGCTGCCGTCCAGTGAACAGGACGGTGTCTCCCTGGCGCAACAAAGCGCGCAAGGATGCTGAGAGGGAAGGCGAGGTCCGGGCGAGTACAAGTCATCAGGTACATGAGGCAACCCACAAGCTCTGCGTAGGGACCACTAGGCTCAAACGGCTCGTCAGGAAAGGGACCAGTGAGTCTGTGGTCAACAGCTAGAGGTGTGCGCTGTACGGTGGAGTGCTGAAGCCCGAACCGCTGAAGGACCTGCTGCACCATGTGTGACTGTGAGAGTGTAATGGTGCAAGCGGCTCTGTCCCTGGTGATCTGCAGGCCAAGGTAGTGGCGCAGCTCACCAAGATCAGTGCACGTGTGTCTCTTCTGCAGTTCGGACTTCACGTCTGCCAAAGCAACCCTGTCCGAAGTGGCGAAAACGAGGTCGTCGACGTAGACCAAAACAAAGAACGGTGTGGAGCCACGACGAACGAACAGCGACGGGTCGGCAGAAGACGGCTGGAACCCAAGGTCAGAGAGGGTAGAACGCAGAGTGTCGTGCCACTCACGAGGGGCCTGGCGAAGACCGTAAACAGGTCGCCTCAGCCTCCACTGGGTCCCAGGAGGGAAGGTGCCAGTGAAGGCCGAGGGACGACGCAACCAGACCTCCTCGTGTAGGCTGCCCTGAAGGAAAGCAGTGGAGAAGTCGAGAGAGTGTAACTCGTAGTCTCTCTGTGCTGCTACGTGTAGTAACACCCGAAGAGTGGTCATCTTCGGGGTAGGTGCGAAGGTCTGAAAGAAGTCAACTCCCTCGCGCTGACTGAAACCTCTAGCCACGTAGCGCGCCTTGAAGACCGGGGGAGATCCCGGTGGCCGCTTCACCCTGTAGATCTGTCAGAGGTCCACTGGTGATCCCCGATCGATCCTAGGGAAGGGTTACAGGCACATTTGCCTGGGGGGTTATGGGCGCACTGACCCGCTACTGAAACAAGCCCTTTTATCCCAATGGTCTAGTGGTTGGGATTCTGAGATGGTATCCAGAGCGAAGGTCTCGGGTTCGAATCCCGGTGTATGCACTTCGGGCATCCCAGTGCGGGGGGGTGTCAGAGGTCCACTGGTGATCCCCGATCGATCCTAGGGAAGGGTTACAGGCACATTTGCCTGGGGGGTTATGGGCGCACTGACCCGCTACTGAAACAAGCCCTTTTATCCCAATGGTCTAGTGGTTGGGATTCTGAGAAGATCCACATGCCGTCGACTACGTTCGCCCCAGGGGGGGGAACCTCATCGACGTAGGTGCCTGTGGATCTGTAGGAGGCCATCTCTGCGTCCATGGCAGCTCTCCACTGAGAGGCCCAAGGCCCTGACACTGCCTCAGCGTAAGTGCGAGGAGTCGGAATGTCAAGGGCGTCGGGGTCACCCTCAGGGGCGAGGAGCATGGCACAGAGATGAGGGGAAGCGGCCGCCAGGAACTCTAGCTCAAACTGCCTGTCCTCTAGGGCGTCACAGCCAAGGGCAGACACACCCCCGACGGCCAGAGGACTGGTAGGAGGAGCAGCCACAAGCGTGGTGGCGTAGTCAAGGCGGCGGGTAGAGGCAAAGTCAGTAACTGCGGCAGTAAGAGCGGACACAGAGGACACAGAGGCACGAGGGTGAGTAACAAGAGAGGCGAGAACACGAGAGAGAACAGGACGGTACGTGCGGTAGTAGTCAGTGACAGGAGTAGGGAGCGACACAGTGAGGGCCGACTCAGGAGGAGACGGAAGCACAGACTGAGACGGACGAGGTGGACTAGAAAGAAGGAAGGCAGTACGAAGGTCAGTGAAGGGAACAGGAGACGAGGGACGAGCACGAGGGGAGCGACGAGTAGCCCAAGAACGAGACGGAGGAGGAGAGGACAAAGGCGGAGAACTGGGGAAAACAGCGGGGGAGGAGTCAGGAGGAGGAAACGTGGGACCGTAGACAGGAGGAGAGGCGGAGGAGGGAGGAGAAGGGGAGGGGAGACCAAGGATCCGAAGACCCGAGACAGGAGGAGGAAGTGGCTGCTGCTGCTGCGGCTGCGACTGCTGCTGCTGCGGACGCGGCTGCTGCTGGGACTGCTGCTCCTGCGGGTCCAGCTGCTGCTGCTGCTGCTGCTGCTCCTGCGGCTCCAGCTGCTGCTGCTGCTCCTCCAGCCGCTGTAACTCCCTCTCCTCTCTCTCCAACGCCAGCTGCTCGTCACGGGCACGGCGAACACGAGCCTGGTGCCTAGTCGGGTAGGGGTGGGGGGGTGGAGTAGTGTCCGAAGCAGCGGCAGCTCCAGAGTCCACCTCAGAAGAACTAGGCGCACCACCCCCAAAGGCAGCACTAACACCAGCTCCAGAACCAGGCTCACCTGAACCCGAAGGAGGCGCACCCTCACCCCCAGACGCAGCACCCCCAGTGTCCGCGCGGCCAGCACCAGCTCCCGGACGACAAGAGTCCTCTGCACCCACCGGGTCAGCTCCAACTCCAGAACCAGAAACTCCAGCTCCAACCCCAGCTCCAACTCCAGCACCCCCAGAACCAGAAACTCCAGTGCCAACTCCAGCTCCAACTCCAGCTCCAACTCCAGCACCCCCAGAACCAGAAACCGGTACAGGAACAGGCGCCGCACCAACCTCTCGAGAGCTAGCACCAGCGGCACGCTGCGAGGAGGACTGTGGGGAGGGAGGCTGTACCGGAGGGGCTACCGAAGGAGGAGGGGTAGCCTGGGACACACCTGACGGGGCTGGACCAGGGGGGGGAGGCTGTACCGGGGGAGCAGGAGGGGGAACGGCAGTCAGGAAGAGGGGGGGAGGAGGAACCTGGAGACCTCGACTGGGGTACCTGACGTAGTACGGAGTGGACTCCTCGAAACGGACGTCACGGGAGTCAAAGAACCGGTGAGAGGGAGGGTGGTAAAAGGTGAAGTCAGAGGAGTCCTCAGGGAAACCAAGGAAGACACAGGGGACGGCACGAGGCGAGAGCTTGTCCGCGGAGGTGTCGCGGACAAGAGCCAAGCACCCCCAGACACGAAACCGCGACGCAACACCAGGGGACCCTGTCCAAAGACTGGTCGGTGAAACCTCTGGTCGAGAGACACGTGGCCAGAGGTTCAGCTGGTGCGCGGCGTACTTGACCGCGTAGGGCCACAGAAAATGGGGGGCACAGGCGTGAGTCAGGGAGGTGCGGGCGATCTCCATGACCAGGCCTATGCGGCGCTCAGCAACCCCATTCTGCTGTGGGGACTCTGGAAGCGTCCAGGACTGACGAATGCCCTGCTCGCGACA